CTCAATCGTCCGTTTTCTCAGACTGTGGGGAAAGGATACCCCCTGCCCGCTCCAGCATTTAGGGTGACTGTGCAGTGATCTGTGCCCTGCACACGGGCCATCAGCAAAATGCTGCCATCCAGCCAGGAAAACCAAACCAAAATGCACATTTCCAACCCTGCCCTGCTACCCTCCTTTCTCCCGCTGCAGACTTTTCCAGACTTGTTTTATAACACCTGAACACACACCAGGGCTGGAAACGTTTCTTTCTTTTTTAAAAAAAAAGTTCTCTCTGGTCTTTGCCCAGTTCCTCTAGCTGTAGAGGGAGAAGAGGGGAACTCAGTTATTCTGTACCTTCAAGGGCTCCAGCCAAACACTGAAGTTTCTCTCTTCCCACAAAGGCAGATGCAAGACGTATTACAGAACAATTCTAGTGCATTCATCAAAAAGGCACCGAAAGAGAACATGCATCCCTTTCTGCACGCGGTATGCATGGAAAGACGTTGCTATGCTCGAATCAGAAGGCAGTGGGAACAACACCTGGCTAGTGAGGAGAGGGGCAAAGAGAGAAGCCCTCACCTCTCACTCCCAGAGCCCCCGAGGGAGGGAGGAGCCACCAACAATATTCAAACCTCCGTGTCTCTGGCAACTTCCTCCTGAGTAATGGGAGCAAGGCCCTTTCACGTCAGGCAGGAAAGAGGAATGGAGAGTGGGAGGCGCCTCCAGGGTTTAATTTATGCAAATGGTTGTTCACTAGGGGCCCCACACACACCCACACAAACACACCCACATGAAACCCCACGCCCTGAACTCCCAGGCCCTCGGATGGCCCCCCCACTACTCACTGGTCAACACTCTTGGCTATCGCAGCCATGATGAAGAGAACCGCTTCCGTCACTTCCCAGGGAGGATTGCCATCTTTCAAAGTGGCGTAAAGCTGTAAGGAAGAAATGGGGTCAGGAAGGAGGAGGAGGAGGAAGCCTCCGGCCTAAGAAGAGAGGAATACGTGGGCAAATAACGCATCCAAGCACCTTCCGATCTCTGAGGAAGACCCTCCACGCCAGAGAGTCCTGGCTGACAGCGTTTAACACAAACCCGCTGGCAGCAGGACGGGCTGAAGAGCTGGGGAAGGCGGGGACATGCCAAATCTCAGTGCGGCATCTACCGGGCTTCATTCACAGCTGAGCCGGGCTAGGCAGTACATCGCCATCTCCAAAACCTTCACCTTTTTTGGTTCGCTCTTGGTGAGAGTTGGAGAAGCCTTCAGATGTGGCCCACTTAATTAGAAATTTTATGGCAGACGAGAAGGAAGCCTCAACACCACACTTGGTTGCTCAGCACAGTGCAAAGAAGTCAGAGAGCTCATATACTGATGCTCCAAGGTGGACAGTCAAGGCCATCAAAGGATACTTTACATAATGGCTCTCCCTATTCTGGGAACAGCTCGTTCCCACCTCTTCAGCCTTTTCCCACCTATACAACTGGAGAAAAGGAAGAGAGGGAAGTGCACCAGGACTGTAAAGCTGGCTCACATCCCAACCTAGGCAGGACAACCAGCTGCGTTCGCAACATGCTTAATCCTACACCCTGGGCAGCAGAACACAATCGCGGTGCTTGTAGGCCATCTCAGGGCGACGGTCTGGGTCACACAATGTGCTAAGACAGTGGCAGGGCTTCCCATCGGACTGCAACCCACAAACTGCTCATATCTTTTAATCTTTGTGCAAGCTCAGCTCAGCTCGGGTGGCCAGAGGCACACAGGATCCAGAACAATGCCCAGCCTCAATCCGCAGGCAACGCGCTCTCCAGCTGGAAGGAACGGCTAACGCTTGGTGGCAACCCGCGAGCCACACAAGGCTAACCTCACCACTCTGGCCCTCACCTGGGCAAAGCATTCCACAGAGCCAACCAGGAAGATCAAGTCCTTCACAAGATCTGACACTCTCATTCGGAACTCTCCAAAGTCATCTGTCTCCTCGGGGATCCCTTCCTAGTGGAGGAATTTGGGAGCAGAAGAGGAGAAAGGATGTCACTCCCAGGACCTCAGCCACCATTGAAACAGAAGCTCAGTGCCTTCAGAAGTTGATTAAGCCTGACCTGAAAATGGCTTCATCGTCTCAGAATGAGGGAGAAATAGCCTGCGCACCCACACTCAAGACTTCCCACTCTCCAAGGAATCTGGGACCCTGTCCACGTTCTCAGAGAAATGTGGCTTCCACAAGCTTGTCCTAGCTCCTGAACCACGGACCAGAGAATGCCTAAACTTAGCACACAAACAGCCCATAGCTGTATCCGGCAGCTGCGTTCACTTAAAAGCACACACAGCCCAAAAGTAGCCCTATTTGGCAATGGTGTTCCTTTAAAAGCACACGTTTTTGCCCACCCTTCACTGTGGCAAACAGTCCAAATTATGCCTTAACAAGCGTCCCTTGTTCTTGTAGCACAAGGGACAGTGGCAGAGTTCTTAGGATTTGAGAACTTTCTATCCAAGATCATTGGCATCTGAGGCTGAGCGAGCATTTTCCACGTGGAATACAGGAGCTCAAAGCCAAGTGCAACATTTAGCCCAGCAGGTTGCCTTTCAACGTTCATAAAATCACAGGCTGCTCAGGGCAGAACAATCCATATTTAGCCTAGGCCAGTGTTTCTCAACCTTGGCGGCTTTAAGCTGTGTGGACTTCAACTCCCAGAATTCCCCAGCCAGCCTGAGTTAAGGTCCACACAGCTTAAAGCCGCCAAGGTTGAGAATCACTGGCCTAGATCAAGCTAGGCATAATGAATTCAAATGTCTCCCTGCAGCATAAGGATTTCTTGTGCAAACAGACTTCTCGTGACTTATATTGACCCAACACCCATCTTGCTCACTGCCTATCTTGAGATAATTAACATTTTCAGTGTATCTGGAAATAAGGTGAATGTTGAACGGGCCTGCAGAAAAAGTCACTGAGGGCAATGAGCTGGACTAAATGGGACGTGCAAAATGGCGCAGGGGAACTCTGAATGTCAAACCAGCATGGGGATCCTGATCTTTCTTTGCCTAAGAGACAAACGAGGGTGAGAAGGTGAGCAGGCTTACGTGGTCGGGGTCCAGCTGACAATGCCGAGCTAGCGCATGGAGAAGCCGCTGAATGTAGGCCTTGAAGATGCTATGGATGATGGCGTCGTCCGTCTTGTACAGGTGCTCTCCCAGCCGGTACCAGAAGTTGAAGGAAATTTCCACCACCTGGGGTCGCAAGGAGCCTTTTTAACTCTCCCCTTCTGGGATAATGCAGCAGCACCCCTCGGCCCTTGGAACTCCCCCAACCTTTCAGGAGGTTCACTGGTTCTACAAGGAAAAGGAAGGCTGGGTGGGGGCTTCCTACCTCATATTGAGGGTGTCCTGCACAGATCAAGAGCAGCTCTATAGTCCGCAGGTCCCCCAGGCCTTGGCCTGGGGTGCAAACAATTTTGTCCAGAAATGTCTCACAGAGTTCTGTGAAGATCCGGCAGTAGTTGAGGACCCTGGAAAGAAGAGGAGATCTCGAGTGGGCAAGCCATGTCAGTAGGTGCCACGGAAAAAATCAGTGCAGATGGGCGACAAGGCAATGCAGGGGAGGAGGTTAATTCATTCCCTTACTTAACAATTTTTCCTGATTCTGCCTCTATACCCCGTGGGCATTTCCCTCATTGGACTATACAAGATCTGGCTGAAAGGTTCTCTGGAAACACAGGTGGGGAAGATCCAGAAAAACCATCACAGTCCAAGGAGCAGGAATAGATTAGGTGGGTGCAGCCTGATCCAGAATTTCTTCAGTATAGCTACCCCCACCTCTCTACCATTCCTAGGTTATTTGGAATTAATGGGAGTTGCTGTCAGCCCTATGAGGCTGAGACTAAGAAACAAGTGCCATATAGATCAAGACTACTTTGATTGTAACAGCTCTAAGAACAGAATCTCACAGGACCCCCCCTCTTTATCTTTGTGAGAACTAGACAAGGGCTTGCCTGAGATGTTTTTTCAAGTTATTTCCTTGGCTTGGACTCAAGCCTTCTTACCTGACCATTGCCTTGGTAGTGGAACCATTGGAGGCAGACATGTTTCTCTTTTTTATAGTTATCTTCAACGCAAATTTATTTTCTTTTCAGAAATATGTGGGTTGGTAAGAATCAGATAATGTGTTACTTAACAGGAGAGGGACTTCCAAGTGCAAATGGTCAAAATAAACTTTTTTTTTTCAGGAAACCGTAGCTAAGATTTGAAAAGCCCTAGAGTTGGTTCTGGTGAACCTGAGAGCCAGATGTTGGCTTGATTCTCAATCCACATTTAAAGGAGTTTCAAAACCAGGCTAAGGTGGCCAAAATGGGTATTGGAGGGGGGTTCCATTCACAATCTATGTAGGCCCCTTCTGGGAACATCTCCTTGAATCCAGACCCAATTTCTTTTCTTGTCAGCAACTGAGATTGGAAGTTCGGCAGAGCCACACCCTGGACCTTCACTTGCCTGAACATCTTGCTATCAAACGCTTCCCAGCAACAGGGACTGGGCCCAGGGCCTCCTGGCTACTCACTTGTCCAAATCCTCTCGGGCCACGGCCATGTGGTAAGCTGTCTCCAGTGTCAGAACGCCCTGGAAGAGCTGCAGTGCTAGGGGAAGGTTGGTCTCCACGTTCTCGATGGCGTAAAGAGCGGAGCAGACACAGTCCGATGCTGCTTCATGCAGGTTGGACGACGTCTTGTCCTGTTGCTGAAAGGCATCCCACCCGGAGATCTTGTTTAATCCTCCCGCAGGGATCTCGGCGAACGTTGAGCCTGCTTTCCCACGCCCCAAGATTACCTGACTAGCTGTGGTTATTCACACTTTCCTGCCACTTTGTATCTACTGAGTACATAGAAACAATCCAGATGGTGGCCAGGCCAGATGTGCCCAGGACGGAGAAGGCCGATCGCAAACCTGTATCCAATCCCTAATGGCCTCACAACCAAGGACGCTAGATTCCCACTGAGTCTCATTAGCCAGACTAATTGCAAGGAAAAAGGGATCTGATCAGAGAAATTTGGAAACTGGATATGTTTACATAAGCCCCATGTTATCAGGGCATGTGTTACGATGGAGTCCTTTGATCCTCTTCCTAACTGTCTCTTGACACAGGGGAGATGTTGTCACCCATTTCCCCCTAAGGAGGAAGGAATGTCCATCTGTTCTGGTCCTACAACATGTCTGCCAACGTCCATTCCCACCCCCAGGCTTAGAGAGCTGCACCACATCTTGCTTCTCAGCAGAGAGGACCCAGCTGCCCCTCCGAGTGTTGAGACTGGGGACCCCAGGAAACGCACCAGAACCTCAAAGAGCAGAGAGAGTAATTTGCTGTTGGCCATGAAGGTGCTGTCAAGAACGCCCAGGTTGAACCAGCTTCCCAGACATCGGAAGATCTTGATGAGCATCTTCTCATCGTTACCTGCCTTCTCCACACAGGTCACCTGCAGGACAGAACAAGAACCCTGGGCTCAGCTTCCCTCAAAGAACATGCACAATAGCCATGGCACACACGCTAAGGCATGATGCGCTTTACCTAGCTTTACCTTAGAAGATTATATAAATTCAGCCACGGTGGTGTGCCTACCCTGTTAACATGTAACCATCTGTGGTTCACTGGACAAATCCAGGGCTTAGCAAGATAGATGAACGCAATCTGCAGCTTTAATACCACTGAACACGACTGGTTTTCATTTAACCTGTTGTGTGAATGCTACCAACTGTTGCATATTCATGGCTGAACACATCACAGATTAATGGGCTGTGGGAAGCCAACCCCTGAGAAGCAATGTAGCATCTAAGCAAGGGATGAGGTTCATGTGGAAAAACTAGCCAAGCTTTTACCTCTTCCAATTCTCTGAGAAAAAGTAACACTACTGTGCCACCAAAACAGATGCAAAGCCATGTACAATGAACCTCTCTGAGCATATGCATAGAGCCTTTTTTCCAATATGTGAAAACTGCAGCCTGGATACCAACACATGTCAAATAAAGCACTGGGTTTCCTTCCAGGAAACCCGCAGAATGTCCACACAGGGTTCACTCAAGACCAGAGAAACAGGCTCCTGCACTGGACTTTAACCCGTATTGCCCCCACAGTCAACTGCCGTGCTACCAGAGGCTGAGGGGAGCTGCAGTCAGTTCGTTTGCAAGGCCCCACGCTTTACATCATCGTGAACTCAAAGAAGAGCAACCCATCCATCCAGAGGGCATGACCACGACCAGCAGCTCCTGGCTCAGTGGCTGACGCTGGGCCCTGCTGAACTGGATTAAGCCAGGCCCCAGCAGGGAGCAACACTCGCTGCTGCTCCCCCAGGAGCAGACGACCCACAAGCACGGAGGAAGCACTGCCTTCATCTCAGTCATCTTCAGACCAACGTTTTCAGGAAGGCTGCTATGAAGCCTGCCAGGAGCCTCCATCCCTATCCTCCGCTAGGGAACAGCTGGTGGCTCTTCAGGAAACTGCAAGAATTTTCCAGGGATGTCCAGTTTGCGGTTTTCCAAATACTTTAATGCCATTAGGGACCAACGTAAAACTCTGGCTGGGTTCACACAGCATGCTACTACACAGACCTCTGTGGCCTGGTCCACACAAAAAGATGAGCCAGAGCCAAAGCCAAACCAACCACGCGATGGTTTAGTATGTTGTCTGAACCAGGACCTGGCTCCCGGCTGCCTGCTTCCAGAAGCTGAACAGTAATCAGTCCCTGCTCCTTAAGAGCTTTATCAGGGATAGCATTGAGTCAACCATGGCTGATCTGGAAAATTTAGTCCCTGGATGGGAGACTACCAGGAAATCCCAGGACTGTAGGTTAGACTGAGAAGATGAAAAAACATCCTGCAAAAAAGGCAAGGATGAACTCTTTCTGTAGCGTTGCCAAGAAAACTACATACACATCCCTGAAGGAGCCAGAATCAAGTACAAATGAAAAAAGCCTTTTCATTTATGAGCTCATCTACCCAAAGAAATGGAGCCAGTATAATCCCACTTTATGCTTTAAGCCACACTCTTAATTTTATGGCAGACCAAGGAACCCAGCTCCAGATCTTCCCAACTTCTACATTTCTTCCTCTTCTGGGTTCGTTGTCTCTCTGCAAGAAGCTTCAGTTGGGTTGCCATTACTGCTTCAACCCGACACTCACCAGCAGAGAGACCACTGTGCTGGAGTAGAAGGCCAAGTCTTCTATGATCTCGGTGCGGCGGTTGGCGCCGATGCGCAAGGAACGGCTGTGGACCTCCTCGGGTAACACCGTCAGGATCTCCAGCAAGAAGGGCAGGGATGTCACGTCATTATTGTACCTGATATCCCAAAAGAGGTGAGAAGATATGAAAAGGTCACAGGAAGAGGCCAGGACTCTTGACAGGCACAATAGGCCTTCCAAAAGCAATGCAGACAACCAACTCGAGGTTCCCACCCCTCAATGACACTCTGTTCCCAAGCCCAACTCAAAGCATTGCCCTTTAAGGCCACAATCTATATATGCCTTGAGGACTTCCAAAGAATCAAATGCTCTCATGTGATTCAATCTGCCCCACTTAGATCTTCTGGCCCACCTTCCAGCACCATCTGAGGTTGCTTGGCTAGGACAATGGAGAAGGCCTTTTCACAGGCGGTGCAGACATGCAGGAACAGATCTCTAGGACTGTTGAACCAACCTCAACCTTATGCCCTTGAGACCCAGTGGGTACCTCCCAGCCACATGTTGCTGGACACATTAGCTGGGAGCTCTAATTCAACCCATCTGAGGTTGGGAAAGAGTAACTCAGTTTTCCATCTCAGCATTCAGAAAGACTGGAAAACAACCAGCTTAGAAAACTCCAGCTATGAGGCAGTCTAGAAATACAGCAATTTAAAATGCTGTCAAATTGGAGCTAAGCAGGGATGCTGCTATGCCTCTAAGCTTCAACATTTGCTCCAGCGATGTTCTTGGAAACAACCCCTCAAAAAGCCATCTGCTCTAAAGCCCATGGGTGCTCACAGAGCAAGCTGCCCTTTGGGTTCCCCTCTGCTCCTCAGACCACTGCCACAAGACCCTGACTCAGCCTGCGCTTTAATCAGCTGTCCGGGGTGGGGGACAAGATCTGAAAAGCGGGTGACTTACTTTTCAACCAGTGTGTGCACACAGCCCTTCCAAGAGGCCATCTGCAAGGCAAGGTCTGCTATGGCTAACGCGAGCTGTATTGGGGGTGGGGG